TACCGATGTAAGCGAGAAGTTGTTCCCGTCGTAGTCAACGAAGAGATACACCTGCGAGAGGAATGCTCTCCCTAGCACAGCCTGCCCGTCGCTGGTGGGCTCGCGGTGCACAGCAACTTCGGAAAGTCCAGGGTCCAGCACCATCGAACCGTTCGGAGCCAGACCGCGGAGTGGTTTGATGAACTCATGCGGAGGAACAATGACTGTGAGGGTATGTGTCTGGTTCACAACCAGGGCGAGTGACAGTGACCAGTTAGAGACTTTGGCCATGTGCATGCTGTTATAGACGAGACCAGGTTCCAGCACATGCAAAGTATTAGTCTTCGGCTCATAGTCATGGGTGTTCGTATCACTGGATAGTGGTTGGCCCTCCTCGATGACAGTCGTAGCTGAAGTAGGTTCTTCTCCTGTGTTTTGGCGAATTGCGTCCCTCAGGACGTCAAGCAATATTTTCGGGAAGCGGAATATATTGTCGTATGGCTCAATGCAGGTGTCAAGGTCCCGAGCCAATTCGATGTCCGGAGCGCCGTCTCCGGTCTTCAAGAGAACCGATTGCAAACTTAGTCGTAGCGGACAAGATCGAGAGCTAGACGAGAAGGTCTCCTTCGCCATGGGAAATGTCTCAAAGTTGTAGGTTCTCACGCCCGGGCTGTACCCGCCAAGAACAAGCCTTCCCCTCCGGGGGTTGCTAATGCTTTGACTACCGGCATCTAAGCCCCAGGAACGAGATGCAATGCGACCGGAGGTTCTGAGATAGTCGAGAGAATCAGAGTTCCAAGGAGAGAGTCCCAGTTGAGACGACGTGAAGCGTTGGCCCTCGGTGACCAGACCTGCGACTGTGCTCGACGTGCTCGTGTTTGCAAGGTGAAGTGGCCGATCGAGACGTACCTCGACTGAAGACTCTTCCCCATTCGGCCACGGCAGGTTGGAAACTCGAGTTTCGTGAGTTGAGCCTGAGACACCTTGTTGCGCCAACCTTTCCCAGGTGCTCTCAGTTCCCACAAACCCGCCTCGCCGGGATACGCACTGGGAGATCGTCATGTTCCCTGCTGAAAGAACATCGGTGGAACAGGTCATGGGTGTCATTATGAGGGTGCTGCCAACCATGGTTGAAGGGAGGGCGCAGATTTCGTAGTCTTGATTCTCAAATCCAAGGGAAATCCGGGCGCCCCAAGAGAAAACCCTACCACCGCTTTGCCCTAGAACTGTACAGTCCCCAAGATTCAAAGATAAGGGCAGCGGTAGCATCGACACTTGGCATGGGTCTGAATAACCGAGGAATCTCCAAAGTTTGGTTAGGGTGGGTGTGTCGAAAGAATGTCCTCCATCCACGTCTAGGTAGCTGCAGGCAGACATCCGATTTGAGCCAGCTGCCACGGGTGCCAATGCGACCCACTCCCTAGCGGGGCGATGCTGCGGAACGGCCGAGATCGTGTAGTAGAGAATAAGGAGAACCGAGACACCGAGCAAGGTTAACGGCTTGCGGGACATTCGTGCCACATACTGGCAATTAGCACCAAAGTTCTGGGCCATTGGTGCGTAGGATACCAGGTTTGAAACGAGGACAGTTGTAATGGCAAATATGATTCCCAGCTTCAGTTTCTGGTCTCCATCGATTATCGAATCGGGGCCTAGCATCATGAATGCTGACCAGTTGGCTGAGATGAGAAGAACCTAAATCCCAAAGTTAAAAACTGCGAAGATCAGGGTCGAATAACAGCCAAATGCATTACTCACCCAACGAAGTATGTCGTGAGACCATACGAACTTCAAAGTGGTGTTGGGAAACCTGGTGTGGAGGCCCTCGAGGAGACGGGAGGCGGGGAGAATATAAGCAGTGGTGGATGATGGGCTGCCAATAACAATGTGTCCATATAATCGACGGGTGGCGGGTTCCATGACCATCGATCCACAGTCCCCTTTGACGGGAGGATATTTCATGCGAACCCTCCACAATTCTTGGAAGCCTTTTGTACCAGGCACGTGCATGAATGACGGGGTCCCCGATATGGAGCCCTCCATCATTTCGGGCCTACTGCTCGTAATTCTGACGGTGGCATTATCGGATGGCAGCGATTTGATTATCCGACGTCCGAGAGTACTGATAGAGTAACTCTCGTCGACATTTGATTCAGGTTTGGATGGAGGGACAAGGGTCGTTATGTCAACCAAGGCGTAGTCTGGTTGGATACCAGACAAGGTGCCGAGGCGGATAGGTTCTCCAACCAGGACCAACCAGGGCGAATCTGGATGATCCTGCAGATCTTGCACGTACATCGTCTCCCAAGTTGGGGGATGTGTCAATGAAGGCACTTCCGGGTTGCAAACAACGATATGAGCCACAGTTGTCAGGAAAAACCTGCCTTTGAATCGCAAGACGATGCCACCCGTAGCCATCCGCACCATCCCATCAGGTCTTCTGAGCACGAGTGGGGATCCCACAAAGTCGATTAAGGATTTCGGTCGGGGGCGGTCAAGATAGACCTCAGATCTTGGAATATTTTTGCCAGAATGAAGCTCGCCTGATCCGTCTGGTGAGCCCCTTGAAAGCTCCTCGAGTGGGAGCTCCTCGAGTGGGAGAACATGGCTGCGATCTGGAGCATGGCAGCAATCATCCAGCCCGACTCTGGGATAGTGCTGCAGAATTTTACTGGCCTCGATCAAATTTCGAACCGATTTTCTGGAGACGGTGCTTTGGCCGTAGATAAGGAGGGTCGGGCGTGCTGATCGCTGAGTCGGTCCAATCATGTAAATCGACCAGCCAACGATGCCATCTTCCGGTGCCTCCCAGTCAGCGAGAAGCTCTTGAATGTCGCGTGACAAGGATTTGAACATGTCGCCAGCGGGTCCTACAGCTTCCCAGCATCCACCTAGCCTCATGCTGCAGTAAAATTCGCCGACGGAGGGACAGGCAACGTTTTTCTGGGGCACTACCCAAAGGAATAGGCTCCTGACAAATTGCATCCTGGGGAGGATCTGGCTGAAGCGGAAGCGCAAGTGACTTTGCTTGGTTTCCATGAGGCCTGGCCGGACAAAGACCAGCATGTCCAAACGCGATGCAGGAAAGGCGATGTGATCCTACCCAGTTGGTTTTGCTCAAAATGCAAGTATTTCGACTTTGATAACACTCGGCGGTGGCCAGGAGACAGGGGCTGGGGAGATCATGAGATCATGGATCATGAGACGATGAGGTGGTGCGCCCAGAACAGACAATCCTGGCGGCAGACTGGGCAGTGAAAGCATCACAGTCCCCTGTTTAACGCTCTGCCTAAATTCTGCACGAGGGTGGGAATCTGCCTTGTCAGGCATAAATCGCAGCGAATGTTTGAGCAGGTAGCCAATTGCAACTAAGAGGTGCTCTGTCCACGAACTTCCAAATGCCAGTTTGGTGGTGGCGATGCAAGCCACGTTTCGGGCGCGGTGACTGCACCTGGACCACAGAAACTGTTAGCCAATAGAACAAGAACTAACTAGCGCTGAGCAAAGTAACGCCATTATTTGGCAGTGGATTTGGCCCAATCGTTTTAAACCGCATCATATTTCAGAACCTCAAGCTGCCTTCGAAGAAAGAAATCCTCTCTTTTCGCTTCACTTGAACCAAATCATGGAACCCCACTTGCTCAAATACATTGTCGATAAAAAGGGAATTGTGATAGACCACGATGCAAGGACAGCCATCACAACCAATCTGTGGCCTCCTCCACCCCGCGCCGGCATCCGCGACAACGAACTTAAACTGGACTCATACTTCAGGTACTACGCTGAGCAGTGCCAGGGATTTCTCAGTCACCATGGCAGATTCATCACCGTCAGAACGCACCAGGATATAGTAGACGTCGTTCTTGATTTCAGATATGACCGAACTCGACAGAGATTGAGGCCTTGATACAGACCCGTCTAAAAGAAAGCAATGGCGCTTGCCTAAATGTCACCGCTGAAATGATAAGCAGAACAACCGACCTCACGGCGCGTCTATTTCTGATGATGAGCGTTGGGGGTCTACCCCATGGCATTGATTCAGGCACATCGTTGAGGTGGAACCAGGGCACCATCCGACAGTTTGTCCAGCAGCACTTCGATGTCCCGCCGATCTTGAGCCATGAGGGCGTCAAACTACCCAAGCTTTTCAACGCTCACAGCCTTGTGAGAATGGCCGGAATAAAAATTGAGTGGACGACGAACCTCGCAGATCACCTCAGGATGATTGATGATGACCAGAAGGTATCCATCTTTTGCCATCCTTCGTTTCTCATGCTGCACAAGACAAGGTAAAACAAACCCTGGCTTTCGCAACTACATATTCTGAACCAGGTCACAGTGAAATATTCCCCGAGGGCTTCGTCGAAGAAACACTGCAAACCCTCAAGCTTTTATTCCCCAGCGACAAAAGCCTCGAGAAATGGGTGCAATCGCTCCCACCAACCGTCGACAAAAAGATTGCATCCCTCGGAACCCCGGGCGCTGAAATGAGACACATCGAGAAATTTCGGTTCTGGCGCGACAGGCTGATGATTGTCAAACAGGTCTTCGACGAGGCCGAACCAAGCAGCCTGTCGCAGTGGTGGTACAACAGGAGCAGGAGGGTGCAGTGGTATACGTGGTGGCTCGGCGTTCTGGTCCTCTTGCTGGGGTCCATATTCGGGCTGATTCAGTGCACGCTCAACACGGTGCAGGTTTATAAGCTGTTCAACCCTTAGGTAAATTTCGGTTAAGGAATGGAGGGGGTATTTTTTTTAAAAAATAAATTTAAAAAAAGGAAGTAAGAACATTTTTTTTAGAGACATGTGGGATCCCTCTGGGCGGGCCCTCAAAAAATCTCGCGGAATCAGTGGGGATGCCCTGCACGATAAAGGGATGTTCTTGTCGGCTTCGTTGTCAAAACGGTGCGCGCCGCGTTCAAGTTCGTTCTGGTCCTTAGCTACCTACTATCGACGAAGAAAGCTGATTTACTAGAACAGGAAAAATATCCGCTCGGTATGGACGAGACAAAAACAATGCATTGCCCACAATCAGAATTGAACTGATGACCTTATCATGATCCAGAATTGTTACTAGTGATACGCTCTACCCCTGAGCTATGCGGGCTTTCTTGGTGTGATGCTTGTTGAATTGTTGATCCACAGCGTGGAGTTGAGAACCAACAACGTTGACAGGATCCATACTTGGGCAATGTTGGGTGGTAGACTTTGGATGGAGTGGAACTTTCTGTATGGAATGTTTGTTAGGTGATCCTGGGGGAAGTTTGTCTCTGACATCGCCCATTAGCAGTTCCAAAAGCAGCATTGAAGTTCCAAAACAAGAAATTACCATTCATAAATTGGCAAACTTAAGACTCCAACGATCCCCTTTCCATCGTTTATACCCAGTGCACCACATCCAAAATAAACTCCTCCCATTCTACTAGTACAGCATCAGTCAAATACAGTCCCCCACCATGATCTATTGGGTCCACCCCGATCCAAGACACGAAAAAAACGCACATCAATATCATCCAACTTCCAAACCAGCCCGTCAATGGCTCCCTCCGAGCTCCTGGTAAACGAGATGAGGAACGATGACCACGACGACCGACAAAGTCCCCGCACAAGACAGTGGTCAAGATTCATGGGCAAGTGGCAGAAGACATCAAAATGGTAGTGGAACATCTCCCAGCCCTGGCTAGGCTGCTTATTGACTGTCATGGCTAGCTTTGTTGCATTCTGCGGATCTGCTACCACGTTCGACGGTGACAATGTCTTCGAGATTCTTCATGGCATATGATCCACAGAAATCGCTGACCAAGGGCATGACTGTGTCCAGCCGACGACTTGCGTCGAGTGGTGCATTAAAACCTCTGGAATAGTGATCCAGGTATCGGCGGGTCGCCATGTCCGCCACGGCCAGAAAGTCGATCGCGGGCAAGAGGTCACACATTGTCTGGATGAGACCCTGCGCGATCCAATCCGTCGCATCCGAATGGCCCGTCCCGTTGGAGAGGACGATGACCGCCGCTTCGGTGTCGGGAATGAGGTACCAACTGCACGCGTAGCCGGGGACATGGCCCTGGTGGCCGTAGATAGGAATGCTCGGCGAGTCCTTTCCAAGCGTTGGGGATGCCAGTGCGCGGTTGGGCGAGACCAGCCCGAGCTTGGCAGGTGTGTGGTGATAGCACCATCCCAGGCAGTAGTCCCCATCCAGGGGTGAGTCAGCGTTGCCAATCGTCGTCCTAGTGAAGACGAAGGAGTCGAGCTGAAGGACGGGGTGTCGAACTGCTCTTCCCCCACCGCCGTGCGGAGGCTGCCTGGAGGCCAAGATGTACTGCGACCAAGTCAACAAGTCGTTTAACGAACTACGCACGCGGCCGGCGCCGCCGTTCATGGAATCGGCCGACAGTTCGGTCTGCACGATGCGGAATGGATTTCCGTCGGCAAGGACAATGTGCGGGGTCGCCATGTTCCGGTCGTGTTGATGGAAAGGCCTGGTGGCGGTGGTTCCTGTCATTTGGAGCGGCTGGAAGATGTAGTGACGCTGAAAATCGCCCCAGGTCGCAAGACCCGAGACCCGCTCGACAATGGTTCCCGCGAGGGCGTACAGGGCATTGTTGTAGCAGAACTGGGTACGGAATTCATGCTTGGCAGGCAGGGCGTTGCAAACCTTGACGACGTCCTTCTTGGCGACGAGGATGCGCCCGTCGAGGCCGTGGATGATCTCGTCCAGGCCCGCCAGGCCCGTGCGGTGGGAACAGATGTCGCGCACCGTCATGCTTGCGCAGGCATCGCTGCGGTCGAACTCGGGGATGATGTACTTAACGGAGCTGTCCCAAGACAGCTTTTTGTCCTGGACGAGCAGGTCGATGGATGCCGTCATAAAGGCCATGGTGAGGCTACCGACGCAGTAGACTGTCTCACTACTGGGAGGTATCTGGGCTCTCCCCACGTCGAGAACGCCAGAGTTGTGCCTGAGCACGGCTCTGCCATGGTAAATCACGCCAACGGAGATGCCAGGCTGGTGAGTAATGCTGCGGATTTTCCTTATGATTGGAATGCGCCCACGCAGGCGGTGCTCCATGGGGGTAAGAGGGGCCATGGTCTTGACTGTCCAATCTCGGGGGAAATGATGATGGGAGCTTTGGCAATGCTCCTTCCTGCGTTGATGTCAAAGGTGGGAAATTCGAGAGCCTGGGCGAGTGGTCAGCTGGTTGCATCGCTCTTGCCCATACCATAAATCCATAGAATCATGTCCGCTGTGGAGACAAGGAGTCGCGGTCAAGACGATTGAGACGAGGCAATAAAGTTTCGTTTATTTTCTTAGTTTACGACCGTATTACTGGGGGAAAGTACAATGCTGCGTGGCCTAACAAGAATCCCGTTTTATGATGTACATTGTAGATGATGCAACCGGGAAAGAGCTGGGCCTGGACCGCCTGATCAACATGAAGCTACATGGAACTTTTGACCCGGCGACCAACGTAAATACACCAGAAAGAGCACTGTGGAAGACTGATAGAAAAGAATGAAGAAACACAAGCAATCTTGTCACTTACACAGCTTTTGAGAAAAGTGTTCGCCTTGACATTGGTCACGGTATGATTTTACTGGTCTTGGAAGTGTATTCTTTTGCGTCTCTGAGCAGGCATGTGAGCCGCAATTGATCACTGGTGCCTTTCCATCTCCGACGGCATGCATGGGCGGCAAGACCACTTACCCCATGAGTGCTTCCATAAGTGTTTCTGAACTCAAAGTTCTTATGGTTAGAGAGGGATTATCTCGATGGTTTTATTGCCTGTAGTCTCGCCGGCTTCCTGCCAATGATGCAATCGAGGCACGCACGTAGCCCGAGAGGATTCCTTTTTTCTTCCTTCTTTTTATAACCTTGTATGTTTGCGCCACAAAGTGTGAACCCGGCGTTTGCCAAAGGTCCCCCTTGTAATGGCATTGCCATCGTGTCGCTTAGTCCGTTGACGACGCCGATTACTCCTTCCACAACTGGACTTACATGAACCCAAAACCGACGCAGAGGATTTCCATTTCCTCTTTAGAGCTAAGCTAGATGCAAATTTGAGCTACCCGGCTGTACCTGCCGCAATCTGAATCTGCAATGGAGATAAGGAGGTTATTCTCTCCATGATCAACGCATACTCGATTGTCTCAGGCAGAGCCCCTGCATAGGTCTCGAATTTCCCAGCCAAGAAATTGATGGCTCCTGTGCAGGGTCGATTAAATAAGTAGGACTAGCAGGACGCCAGAAGTGGTTTGTATATTTCAGTTCAAGGTGCTCAGCTTCAAATAATTTGGCATTTGCTCAAACAAACATAATACCCCGCTCGTTAGATTTTCTCCGTCATCCTGAAAGTCGTCTGAGTACGCCTCCGCAGAGAAATTGGGGTTGAGGTTAGTCTTTTGAGATATCATCACGCAACTAACACGATGAGCCAGCCGCCGAGGCACTCAATCCCATCGAGCTCAGCGGTACGACTACCGATATTCCCTGCGCCCACGGTAAGCGACAGGTCTAGCAACACGTCGAGCGAGCGACACATCTGTCCCTGAAGAACCACCAATGTCGTCAAGGGCGCAGTTACGATCTTGGTCTCAAGTGCGATACGGTTGTATCGATAGGTCAGCCCCTTCCATACAGTGAGGTGTGGACCAGCCCAAAGCTGGACTTGCCGAATGGATCGAGCACAGAGCTGGCGATTGCCCATTCCGTAGAACACAAGCTGTTCAAACAGAAGGCCCGAGAGGAGAGAATTACCTTGTTTTGCCCCAGCCAGCCACAGCCACCTGGAGACAGTCCGCCACCATCCGAATCATGACCCAATTGCGATGGTTTAGCTAGACAACGTACCGAATATTTGCACAATTAGCTCTCTAGGTAGTTCTACTAATTGTTCTTCGCCTAGGTGACGGCGGGTCGGCTTACTATGGCTCGGAAGCGCCTGGAAGGCATCATTGCTATGGTCGATTCCGTCGGTGGCGCAAAGAGAGCTTGGCTTGACGGGTATTTTAGAACGCGTAACGAAAATTTATTCAATATCTCCCGGCCCGCGCGCGAATGCACGGATCCGAGTTGGGATCCGAATCTCAACTGCCCGCGCGCGAAACCCACAGCTCCGTATTGAGATCTCACCCGGCCCGCGCGCCAAACAACGGGCTTATTGGAGTGTCTCATGCCGAGCCTTCCACCAACAGTCTTCTCTCTCTTTTCTTTACCCCAGCTGCCGACACTTTTGCTACACTGTTGGCTATACCAAGCCCCAACCTGCACTACCAACTACACGCATAATGCTACCGTCACTACCAACTGCCCTCAATTGAAGCGTACCTAGAGTCTAATACGAGCTGACAACCAGAGAAAATAGGGAGAGCCAAGACGGCAGGCGGCACCAAAATATGAAAGAGAGCTAGAAGCTACTCCTTTCGCCCGCATCTGGGGACAACAAGAGCGCTTTACTCGCCAACTTCCCATACTACAGCAAGGACTTTTTGCAAGGCAGAGAAATCCTTCGAGTAAGGTTCTTCCTCAATCTCGCATTGATGGTGGAGGAATTCTTTGCTGTTAGACGTCACTTTTGTTGGCTACATACAAAACATCCAACTTTACAAATTGTAGGCTTCAAAGTTCCCATCTGCCTACAACCAACAAACCGACATCCCAAAGATGCGCGCGGTTGGAGTAAAGCTTGAATGTAGGAAATTGTATAAGAAGAGCGGAGAATCCTCCTTGAACCACAAATGAGCCCATCATCCACTCAATCCCAACTTCCCACAACACAACTTCCCATCCTCTCTAGCCACCATGCGCTCTTCCACTCTCATCTTCGTCGCCTCGACCTTGGCCCAGGCCGCCTTTAGTGCCACCGAGGTAGCTCCCATCCCCGGATAAACCATTATTCCCATGTCATGAGAGATCGAAGTGTCACCCAGCCAAGTCGAGGTCCTCAACGGCGCCGTCCATAAAGTCATTGCTCAGGCCTTGCCATCAACCCGGACTATGAGCTCCCCAAGCTCCCTGCCCTCGCCCCAGCCCCTGCCCTCACCAACCCAAGGTCCGCCCTATCTCGTCGTGCCACAGTGAAGTTCTGCAACAATTTCGGACGCGCCAAT